TACCTCATGCGGCAATGGCCTTGTTGTGGGAGTTCTCACTGCTCTGAGGTGGGAGCAGTGAGGCTTGGAGAGGGACCTGGGTGCTGTCAGCAAGGTGAGCTTTGGCCATTCCTGCTGGCTGGCTGCCCCTGCACCTGAGATTGGGCACCCTGGCACCAGGGTGGCCCTGGGGCGGTGTTTCATTAGAGAGCTGCATGCAAGCTGCTTGAAAGTTTGTTCGTATGAAGTCTAAATTAAATACATAGTCGAGGGAAAGTCTTTACCAAGCTATGAGGTAATATTGGCAGTTGATTATTTTATTGGGGCTGGGGTAATGAATTTGTTCTGCAGTAGTGTGTAGGAGACAGTTAGGTCTTTTACAGCATTTTTTGAATAGCAATTGGGTGAAATCCTTTATCTCAAGCCTCATATTGTATTAGATAGTGACCGGGAAACATCAGCATTTATATTACCAAATTGCAGTGATTAGTTTAGTATTCCTAGAAATTGCAGACGTGATTGTTCCTACATTACCTCAGTTTTAATAAAGCTTTTATTGCATAAATGTAGGTTGTATTGCTGAGAATAACTGAAATCTCTTTTCAATTACTCATACATATAAAAGAAAATCGTTGAAATATAGAGGATTAGTGCATTACTCTTATGCAGGCAGTATGGAAGGTGATACAGTTTAGGCTGAAGTTGTTTCTGTTTCTGAAAGTTCATCAGTTACAGTTGACCCAAAAAAATAAATACATCTGGTTTATGTTCACTTGACATGAGGAGTGAATCAAAACTCTGATGCTGGTTATTTATAGATATTTACAAATATTTTACTTTAAAAAAAACATTCGGAATAGGGAAGAGATTGTTTCCCTTAACTTCTCTAAAAGTTTTATTTTCCCTCATATACTGTGCCAAGCAAGAGTCTTATTAAATTTTCCAAGTTCTCCAAGACAATAATAGTTAAATGTTTTTATGTCAATTAATATTGACAGGAAGTCAGTTTGAACAGCATTGGAAAATGGAAGTAGTTGGCAGAACTGACTAATTTCACTGAATTTCCTTTTGCTAAAAATATCTCTAAAAGAAGCTCTCCTTTTGACATACAATGAATGTTTGTTTGACTGTAGTTTAGAATTGATGGTGACTCTTGTCCTTTAACCTAAAGGGCTTGAAAAATATGAATAACCTTTTGAAACATTTAGCTTCCTCTGTAGTATATGTAATTATACTCATGGCCACCAAAAGTTTACATATGTTCTTGAATTGATGTATGTGAGTAACCCCATGAGCTTGAATGATCTGCAATAGAAAGAGAAGTTCTGTACACCAGCTTATGTGAAGTTGGGCACTTTATTTATATACATGTTGATAGAATTGAGGTAACAGGGTTAGGCCTGCTACCAGAGAGCAGCATACAGTGTCAAATATGTATTCTCATTTATATTGCATGCAGCTATGTTAAAAATACTTTTATAGATAGGTTGCAATGGCAGGTATTAAAAGTTATAAAATACTAGAAATAAGACGAATTTCGTATAGTTGTTTAGGTTCTGTGCTGCCTCTGTTATGATATAAGAACACCATACTGTACTTACAGGACAGTCTAGAACAATTGTTTCAGAGATTTGGGCAATTTTGGGGGTAAGTCAATGTCATTTGACAGGAAGACTTCTTGCTTGGACATCTTTCCCTTGTGGGAGTTGATGACTGAGGGGCTTGTAGGAAGAGAAGGGGCTGTGTCGTGAATTGCAGTTCTGCCCTGGCTCTTGTACTCTTTGGGACTTTTTCCACCTGAACTAAAACAAAGAGGGGAAGAAGGGTTGCAGGGATGTCAAGGGTAATGAATCACCACGACATAAATGTTGCCTTGTGGCAGAGGAATTTACTGCTTCATGGAGAAACTGAGTGAAATGTGGCTGGTACCTGCTTTATGGTGGGACCTTCTGCTGTTGGAAATCTCATCCCTGAGGAGTGACCCGAAGAAAGGGCAAAGAGATACCAGTGTTTTAGGGCTGTTGGGGACTACAGATATGAGGCTGTTCCAGTTGAGGTGTTTTCTTTGATGTAATTCCCCTGCTGTTGTGTTCCGTCTGGTAAAGGTTTCATCATAAGCTTATTTTTTTTCTTGTAAGTGCTAGTTGTAGTCAATCTAGGTATTAGATAATGGCTTTGGAAAGAAAGAGGCTAAAGCAGATCTTATGACAAGTGGCTGAGGGAGCTGGGTGTGTTTAGCCTGGAGAAAAGAAGGCTCAGTGGAGACCTTATCACTATACAACTACCTGAAAAGAGGGTGTAGCGAGGTGGGGCTCAGTCTCTTGTCCCAGGAAAGAAGTGACAGGATGAGAGGAAACAGCCTCGAGTTGCACCGGGGGAGGTTTAGATTGGGTATTAGGAGAAAGGGTGATCAGATGTTGGAACAGGCAGTCTAGGTGGTGGAATCTCCATGCCTGGAAGTGTTCAAAAGGCATATGGCTCTTGGGGATGTGGTCAGCACAGTTATCCTCGTTTAACGGTTGGACCCAATGATCTTTGAGGTCTTTTCCAGCCTTAATGATTCTATGATTTTAAATCTTCTCTAACTATTTTAAAATACATGTTGCAGTCTCAGGCAGAAATTAAAATCCTCAGTAAAGAGATAAAGATGCCATAGTTGCAGTACATTTAACTGTTAGATTTTTTTGTCACTCTGAACAGGGAGTGTATTTTGAAGGCCTGCTGCACTGTAAGCTGGGCTCTGGTTTCTGCGTGTTGGAAAACCATGTGTGCCTGTGGCTTGCCTACAAGTTGACTGCCTCCTGTTAAGTGTGGGGTGATGTTGAAGTCTCTAGTCATAACCCTTTGTATTGCTCTGGATTTTCTTTTATATTTCAGATACTGCTTTTTAGTGACTTTTCAATTTTTATTCTTTTGTATAGCCAAAGGTTTTTGTTCCTTACCAGAAAACGAAATATTAATCTGGCATGTTGAAACAGGGAGTGCCCCTTCCCCTATTTTTTTAGGTACAGTTAAAGTTATTGCTAACAAAGGCAGTGAAATGCTTGCAGATTATTTGGAACACTTGCACTACTGAGCTGCTTTCAGCAGTATTAATCTCCAGCCGTCTTTCCTTTCTGAGGCTCTTTCAAAACCTCCTTCAGCTGCTGTGCACATAAAAAATGAAACAAATCTCTTGGTGGGTCCTAACTTTGATTGAATTGAAAGCTCATGAGAGCAGCAGCCCTTTGAATATTTTGCACTTTAAGGCTGATATGGAGCTGTAGCTGTCTGGCACTGCTACATGGCTGAGTTTTCTGTGCATTATAAGAATTTAGAGACTGTGTTAGTTCTGGATTCTTTGTGTTACCTTTCATACTGAAAACATGTTGTCAGGAATTTCAGGCTCCCACCCTTTAGTCAGCTGCGTTTTTGCATTTGGAGTCATTACATCTCCTATTACTGGAGTTTTACAAGCGTGTGGATTATACAGTGCTGAGAACAAGTTTTAAAATATAGTGTAGTGAGGTTAGTAATCTTGAGGATTGGTCAAGTTAATGGATGGTGTAAAAGTTGTGTGGAAATCTTAAGGATACAGTAAAGAACCAACTTGTGCTGCTTTAGGAAATTCAACAGTGCAGAAAGTTTCCAAGTTAAAAACTGCTTTTGCTTACTGCTGCTAACATTTGGCCATAGTCCTTTACAACAAAGTGGTCCAGAACACAGTAACTGGAGGCAATGTTTGTTTGGGTTTTTTCCTTAATATTACGGGGTTTGTAGCATGCACTTTGTGATCCTGCAACAGTAATGAATCAGAGCTGGAAGACACCTCCTGAGGCAGGTTCTCTTTCAAGCTTTATTACTAAACAGCTTGATTTGCAGCTGAGGAAAAGTGGCTTGTCCTTCTTACCATCCTTAAATAGATTTTCTTGACCTTTTCTTAAAAATGTGAATGAATATATATATGTCTCTATATGGAGCAAAGCATGCACCTTTGTGTTCTCCATATATATAAGGTAAGCATACATAGTGAGACCCCAACTGAAAATAGTTACTTGAGCTTTGCTAAAAAATATTTGTACTTAAAGTACTTGCTGATGGCTTAAGTATGCAAAATATTATTAAACTGATTTTGATTACAAGCTTTATGGACTTGTGCAGAAGCTGGAATGCCAGGACAGTGACATAGCTCCTGCAGAGATTTTAAGGGTATTTTAACGTAGCTCAGGTGTCTGGGGAAACAAGGTGCTCTTCTGAGAGAAAAATAAACTTTCTTCATCAGTCAATGCTGGGAAAGATTCAAAATACTGCCTAAAGAGATGATGTATCCTACTCTCAAGAGAAACTCCTTCATAGTTTGTCTTACCTTGAAGCCTAATACATTACTTTTTCTGGGCTTGCAGTTGGCTTTTTGGTAAGTTTATTTTGAAATTCCTTGGTTTTGGATCTTCAAAGCACATGAAGCTGGTGACAATGTTCTGCTCTACGTTAAAAGCAGAGCCCTGTGGTTCGAAGCTGTTCAGAAGAGAGATCTTAAGGCAAAGTATTTGTGTTACCATAGTGTATTAGATTTCACTGTAGGTAGAATTGAGACTCTTTTGTGCTGAAAGAATAAGCCTATACAGGTTTGTTTGAAGAGGCAGGCACTTAAAATTGTAGCAGATCTTTATGGACTGATTGGGCATGGAGGGGAGAGAGAATATTCATGTTTGTGACCAGAGTGTTATGCTAAGAACTAGGTAAGATGTAAGACGATGACTCAGATGTAGTAGTGAAGGCAGTATTATGTGTAAGAATTGTAATTTTTCTTTCCTCATATATACTAATTTAGTAGAGTTTTTCTACCACAGTGGGTCTTTTGAGCAATATGTGTAGTATATTTGGTTTAGCCCTGGGTTTTTCATTGACATTTGTTGAACAGAAGGACAAATCATTAACCTAAGTTTGTGAGCACATACTTTATGTAGAAACTTTCAACATTTAGCTTAAAATTAAGTTCTGTATTTACACTAACCTCGGCTTCTCTTCATTCTGTGTTCCAGAAGTACTAATACGGAGCATTTGACCTAATCTCTACAGCTCAATCTCCTGAAACCAGGATAAGGAAAGAGTGCCTTCAGAACCAATATGTAGCAAATGGGTACCACACCTTTGAAGCTCCTCCCTTGGTTCAACACTTGCATGTTTTAAGGATCCTTGTTGCCTCAGCAGTGAATTGTTCTTGTGGACTTCGGAAACAGATTTCATGTGGTGCTTGCTAAACGTTGAGTCACCATGAGTAGTAATCTAGGAAAAGAAAAGGACTGTAAAGAGAAGGATCCAAAAGTCCCATCATCAAAAGAAAGGGAGAAGGAGGCTAAAGCCTCTGGAGGATTTGGGAAAGAGAGCAAAGAAAAGGAGCCTAAGACCAAAGGGAAAGATGCCAAAGATGGAAAGAAGGACTCCAGTAGCACGCAGCCTGGGGTAGCTTTTTCAGTGGACAATACGATAAAAAGACCTAATCCAGCCACAGGTACTCGCAAAAAATCCAGCAATGCTGAGGTGATCAAAGAGCTAAATAAATGCCGGGAAGAGAATTCTATGCGCTTGGACTTGTCCAAGAGGTCTATACACATGCTTCCATCAGCTATCAAAGAGCTAACGCAGTTAACAGAACTTTATTTATACAGTAACAAACTGCAGTGCCTACCGGCAGAGGTGGGCTGTCTTGTGAACCTGGTGACACTGGCCCTGAGTGAGAACTCGCTCACCAGTTTGCCTGACTCTCTTGATAACTTGAAGAAGCTGCGCATGCTTGACCTGCGGCACAACAAACTGAGGGAGATCCCGGCGGTGGTGTACAGGCTGGGCTCTCTCGCCACCCTTTACCTACGCTTTAATCGTATAACTACTGTGGAAAAGGATATCAAAAACTTGTCAAAACTCACCATGCTTAGCATACGAGAGAACAAAATCAAGCAACTACCTGCTGAAATTGGTGAGTGATTATACTGATTGAAAGTTTAGACCTGTTCCTGTGTTCGCTTTGCAGTTCAGTTAAGTATACATAAACTACTGCTTCTCCAACTGCCCTTCGTTTAAAACTTCATAAAATTACACTCTTGATCATACAGTTCCATTATTAGCTTAATTGAGAGTAGTCAATACCTTGGAAATATATATTTTTTGAAACAACAAAAGTCATTTTTCTTCATCTGTCATCTTAAAAGCGGATGTATCTTGTTTTCATCTTTGCTTTGTGCTTTCACATGTTGTGTCTTTAGAGCCCAAATGGTTAAAAAAAAAAAAAGAGAGTTACAGGGGCATTTTTCATTTTAAGGTTTCTTTATAAATCATTTATGAAGTGTTTCAAGTTATAAACACATTATGGGCATGTTACAGAGGGGTGTGACCATGGTAATACAAGGTAGAATAGGCAGCTACACGCTATTACCATGGGCAAGCTGTTGGGTGCTGTAACAGTTAATAATGGAGGTTAATGACTTGTGTAAGTCTCTACCTTTTATAAGTCATGAATATATTAATACATGGACTCTAAAGTGACCAAGTGTTGTATGCATGGCTGATGATTCTTATGATGTTTTAATGAATAGTATTTGTTTTTCCAAACATTGTTACAAAAGTTTGAAAGATGGTGAAATAGTACAAAAGTGGCTTATTAATTTAAATGGTTTATTACAAAAAATGTGCTGGACTAGCTGTATATCAAGAACTTCAAAGTTGTTCCTTTTATGACACTGTTCCCCAGCATTGTTTGAACAACATATGTGCCCCATAAAAGTGAGATTATGTCATCAGTAAGTTTTTTAATGTGTATCACCAGTTTTCAAAATGCAAGCATAGCTCAGTCCTTTTGAGAGGAGGGGAAGCATAAACTTCATGCAGTTAAGAAATTACTTTGACTTTCTTCAAATGTGGAAAAAAACTTGTAAAACACTGTGAATAATAATTCCCATGCCTTGTTTCTAAAAGCTGATGTAGGACTTCTTCCTGTTGTCCAAGCCAGTGCGTGAGCATGTTGTTACTGAAGTTGGCCCTTGTGCTCACTAATTTTGCAAAGGTTGGGAAATGGTGGTGTTTATATCCCTAACAGATTTTTCTCAAACCAGCAACGTTTGCCTCTTTCTCTCGCCCCTTGATATGAAAGATACCTCAGAGAACATGTTCTTGATGGCAGGAACTCCTGGGCTTGTCTGAAGCTGCCGATCAATTAACAGCAGTGTGCGGCACACACAGCGCTGTGCGTGATAACAGGAGTGAAGAAACGCGGTGAGACTCTCAGCTGTGGGTCTGAGGCTTTGGCTCCCTGTAGCAGCTGCTTGAGCCACAGAAACACTTTTTTGCTAGGCAAAAGTGAAAGGTTCATGTGGTATGTTTTCTGATCCACATGATTTTTGAGTTGGCATGAGCATCTCAGCAATCCTATGAATTTCCCGTGGGAGAATGAAGGAATTATAATTTCCACCTATTTTGACACTTCAGTTTCAGTTCAACAGCCTTGTTGAATCTTTTGCTGATCAACAAATCATAATGGAAGTCATGGGCTGATGTTTACCAAAAAACTGCATGTTTCTACATATACTGAAGAAATTGTGGCCAATTTAGCTGGTTGAGCTGTGCTGTACAATTGTCAGTACTGTACCTGGGTCTGTTTGTGGCTCAGTTATTCAATGTAATCTGGCAAAGAGCCATCGTTTGAGGTTCAACGGGGGATAGTACTGCATAAATTTAAATGAATACTAGTATATGAAGAAAAAAATTTCGAGATGTTGCATTCTAATGTTTGATGTTGCACTTTAGAAGCTTTTTGTAGGTGTGTTTGATACTGCAGACTTTGCTGCTGGAACATCTTTGCTCCTTAACTAGTTTGTTTGCAGAGTATCATTAAGTTTACATTAAGGTGATGTCTGTATGTTTTCGTTCACAGTAGCCTTGAAAGAGAGCTTTCAATGTGTAACCATTTAATGGAGAAAATTAGTAGGTACATATATCATGAGTATGTAACTTGCTTCTTTCATTTGTATTTTTTTTATTGTCTTGGTGTGTGTACAGGCAGTGTTCTCAGTTCTCTGTCAAACCCTAGCTTGAGAACATTAACTACTTTACTTCTGTCTTTATATCCAGCAGTTAGTCCTGCCTTTATTTGTATTGTGATAATGCTCATATTTCTTGTTTCGGGTCAGCACCTCATTGTGGAAGGCATTTTAGAAGCACAAATGCAAGAGGACTGTCACCCTTATGCAGAATTTTGAAGGGAAACCATGATGTTCAACAGCATCCTTTTTATTTAAAGTAAATTTCTCTGACTAGGTTGCCTGAAATTGAATCAACTGAAAAATAAAATTAATTGAATTTTAAGTAACAGATAATTTCAACTGCCAAGACACACAGAACAGGCATTTGGAAATATTTTTCCTCAAATAGTAAAACCAGATAAGATAGTTTCACTTTTGTAATTGATTTCTACACTTTCATGTTTCTTTGTTTGAAATATTTGAGTTGAAAACACAGCTGAAAAATGAAACTGCTGAGGACTGTATTTCTTATTCTCCAGTGGAATTTCTCTGTTTCTTTAAACACTTGTCATTTCTCTACATCTTACACATGCACTGTGAAAAACCCCTTGCCTTTTAAGTCTCAGTGCTTTTAATTCCTTGTATGTTTTATAATGCAGTTTCCAGATACTACATGCAAGCAAACATTCACGTTATCAGCTTGTAAATAACACAGAAATTTTTGTTCTGCAAAGCGGGAAGTAAAATAAAGCCATTATCTTTTATAAGGCAATATCATGTGGAGCATTTCAAATTCTTTGTAAAAATACCCCATTGTTCTAAGGCCTAAGACTCACAATGGTATGCTAGTGTGCTTGTTCATATTTTTAAAAATTCAAAGCTTATGTATCCCACTGACTTGTGCAGCGAGGAAGTCTTGCAGCAGTTAACTACGATGTGTTCATGTTGCTGATCTGGTGCACAAGTTAGTTCAATATAAATTTATTATAGAGATGCTTATCTAGAACATCTGCTGCTTGCTGTGCAAGCGTATGGTATTAGTACTTGGTAGAAATAGATTCCTTTTAGGGAAACCTGAAAATAACTGTAAAACATTTCTTAAGAGTTTGAGTGAAGGTAAAACATTGAACAAAATGTTGTTTGCGAAATGTACAGTTGATCAGATTTCAAGTGGTCCTGGAAACTCCTTTGCAACAACTGACCTGTTACAGTGTGTGTGGTCTTGAGGAAAACCTAGAAGAGGTGAACCTACCTGAGCTGCTGGGAAATAAGCTAAAGTTTGGCTCTATTTTGGACTTCAAACTGTCTTTAGTTAGTTAAACAACACAAACTTAAATTAGGTAACTACACTTGAGGAAAAGTTGCTTTGCATTTAAAAAAAGCCTTCTAGTGAGAAAGAGGAAGTGTTGTTATATGCAGTTAACAAACAGATGTGTGTGTTTCTGGTCTCTTTTCCCCCCAGGATTCAGTACCTCTCATTCCCTTGCACCCAGTTGCTTTATTATAGGTGAGCTTTATTATAGGTAGATGCCTATCAAATAATTTCTGCTAGTCATTTATTGGACTTGTCTTAGCACTTTTCCAGCAATGTCTACATTGCTTCTGCATTTTTAATACAATTGAAATTATTTCAGTAGACTGTGTAGTAAGCTGAGGTACTGGATCAGCATTGTTGTATTTTTAAATATAAATAGATTTGTTTGAATAAGATCTAAAAATACGTAAAAATTTCTGTTTAACTGAAAACATATTTCAAGGTTTATGGGTTGTTTTTTGCTGGGGGTTTTTTGTTTGTTGGTTTTGTGTGTGTGTGATTTTCATTTTTGTTTGTTTGTTTGGGGTTTTTGTCTTTTTTTCATGTCTAGCCAAAAGCTCTGTTCAGGAGTAGGTGAATTAGGGGGAATTTTCATGAAATGGCTGTGCCGATGTTTAACAGCTTCATGATGCTGAAAGGGGCAGTATCCATTCCCCTTCTCAGAGCTTCCCAGCTGCTCACCCCTGAGCTGTTCATTGGTGGGCTGACTTATCTCACTAAACTAACAGAAAATATTAATGGTTTTGCTGCTTTTGTTGTCTATTACTTTAGATAGTTGAAATCAGTATAGTTTCAGATAAGACTGGAACTGGTGTAGGAGGAGTGGGAGAGCATGAACTGGAACAGGGAGAGCAGGACGGCCACTTTGCCCACACTGAGCTGTTGAATCAGCTCAGCTCACTGAGAAGCCTCGCAGGTGGGATTACTCATGTTGTATAAAACCACGTGAAGTGCACTGCTAGTGGTTTGAGGAAGGGTGGATTGCTGTCTGTAGAGAGCTGTCGAAAATGCATCAGATTATGTTTTCAGAATCTCGTTTTCTTCCTTTTTCCCCTGCTTTCCATGTCTTGTACCACAAAACCCTCTTATTGGAGCTTATTGGAGTCCTGGTAGCATCAGCTCAACCCCTCCTTCCTGAAACAATTTTTTGTTGTGTTTTTATGTGTAGTGGTGAGAATCCATTGATGGAAGTTTCTTGATGGCAAAGCAACTCTGTTTTGCTCTTTGTGAACCTAGCCTTTCTTAAAATTGCATCCTACCTAACAGTGGTGATAACTCGTTTGAGTGCATCTTGCCCAGTATCCTGCTTCTGACTGTAGCCCTAAGCAAACATGTGCATAGAAATAGGGTAAGTTTACATATATATATATATATATATATGAGGCTTAACCTGACTCCTTGCCCATATGCAGCTGTTTTTGTATCAAGGATTTCCTGAGTCTGGTGCAGCTTGTCTCTTTAGTAATTCTCAGTACACTCTTCTTCCATAGGCTTGACCCTTTTTTTTCCTTTAAACTCCTATAGATGCCTTTCATCCTTAGCAAGGTCCACAGGTTTGCTTTGAATGCTGTTCCTGACTAAAAGGTCACTGTTACGCAGATGTTGAAAAAAAAAATACATACACACACACACATATATATATATGTG